GATAAATAATAATGATGATGAAATTATATAAAAGAAGGTTGTAAATTGTAATAACAAGTAAAGAAATTTTTGGTGAAGATTATGGTGGGTATAAATGAAATGGTGTCGGGTTGACTATTTTTATTCTTGTTGGATGAGGTTTTGATAGGCAATCAGTGATAGTAATAGGAGCATACCATAATCTTTTGCTATAAGCACACTTTTATATTTTTTCGTATTTATTCTTTGACATAATAAAATTTGATAATAATATCGGTGAAAAAAAAATTATCATTCTTTGTTGGAAAAAAAAAATCTAAAGTAGATCTCTCTTCATACATTTTTTTCTCTGTCTCTTTATTTATCATAAAGGCATTTAGTTTTGTTTTATAAATTTTTACTTTCATCAATCAATTCAAACTAAGAAACTTACACACTCCTTTAAAATCTTTTTAAAAATTTATATAATAGGCAAAATACATTTTCTCGATTACTATTAAATTATTATTGATTGGAGTGCATTTTTTAAAATACAAAAGGATTAATATGCATTTTTGACCTTGAACTATGGGTCTAAGGGCGATTTGAACCTAAACTTTTTAAAAGGTGTATTATGAATCTTAAACGATTAAAGTTGAAGTAATTCAATTCCTATCGTTAACTTTCAACAAACTTCCGTTAAGTTGGGGCCTAAAGTATAATTTTTTTTAAATGAATTTAATAGATGTTTGTTGAAAGTTAATAATATGGATCAAATTGCTCTAACGTTAATTGTTTCAAATTCAAAATGCCGCTTTTTAAAGTTTAAGATTTAAATCACCTCTGAACTTATAATTCAATGTCCACATTAATATTTAACCCTAAAAACAAATGCCTCAAATTAAGCTCTCAATATTTATTGTTATTATTCATGATGGCAAGCTCAAAGTTTGAAAAGTTACACAAGTAAATGAGTACTCTTAGAAGTCGCCTGTATAGTGTTCATATCCTCCACGAGACAACTACAAACATGTTCAGCATCTAAAGTATTATTTTATCTAGCTTCATCATCAGCTTTGAGTGATTTGATCCAGCGAAAGTCAGACCACTACATCAACTTTATCGAGTGACAGTCTAGTAAACAGGCCCATGAATCTCTCAATTTTTTTATTGAATCATGGATTAAAGTACATTCGTTTCATTTTTTTGTATTTCAAGAGAAACTATTACATGCTTCCTCTTTTATAAATAAAACTATGAACTTAAAACAATATTTATTAAACTTTGTTTCAACTTATCTATCATAAAATTAATTATAGGGATGATTTAACCTTGATTTTTAAATTCAAACATAATTATCATTCTTAATTAACTTTATTAAAATGTATTGGCTGATTATTTTTCGTTTATGTATGAATTACTTTTGTTTATTCTTCTATCCTCTAAATTTTTTACGAGATTCATTCAATTCAACTCACGATTAGGGATTTGGTTTATTATATGAATTCCGTTTCCAATAAAAAAATGGACTTGTTAAGATCAACAAAATCATTCATCATCTTGCCAAGTTTCTGGGCCAGTGTTCCTGTAATATCGGGCCACCAAAGTTACAACGAAACGACGGCTTGTCAATGAAAGGCCCTGATATTATTTATCATCGTGACTCGTGAGACGTGCTCTTACTGCCAACGCAACCAAGGACGATGACGTGGAAAATGGAATTCACGTTGCAAGAGGCATGTGCTCTGCCTCTACCAGATTACTTCATATCCTGTCCTGGCATGCTTTTGCTCCCTCTTATGGGAATCTTATCTGTCGGGACTCGGGACTCGATGACAAACCAAATTACGCATCGCATCCCTCTAGGAATGGATTTAGGTAATGCCCATTGGTATGTGATATACTAGGAGTTAGTCATACCTGTCCCCGCTAAAACTACAGGTTTGAGCTTTTTTTTTCCAGAGGTGGGGTGCGCCTGGCCCGTGCAACAGTGCAACGCATGGACGGCGCTTGAAGATATCAGGAGCAAGCTACCGTAATGCACCCTCCTCCTGAAAAAATTAATTTAATATCATGTGGGCCGATGGCTCACGATATTACACCTGATCTTAACCAAAAGGCTGAGAAAGGTATCTACAGGTTTAAGCTTTCAATCAAAGGAGAAAGACAATAGATGGCTCTTTGTTTCGGCTTCTTATAAGATAACTGGAAATAATGTTCAGTTATGATGTGAAATTCGTGAGGCCGGAAGTGAAAACCGAAAAAGTCAAGTTAGTACGGAACCGTTTTGAGAGATTATTGTAATAGGGGGCCACGAGCCAAGGCTTGGCAAGCCCAACAAACCCCAGGAGAGCAACTTTTTTCACTCGCCATGCTGCCCTTCCTAATCTTAAATATTACAGATATAATTTTGATAATGTTGTAAATAAATTTCTTCTTCAGATATTTTATCACTTCAATTTTCCTTAAATTTAATTTATAAATCCACTATACTCATCTTTTTTATCCATTTATAATAAGATAAATTTTTTTAATTTAAAAAATGGACAATTTAATCTTTTCTTATTTTAAGTACATATACAAATTAATATTATATTAAATTTCATTTTCATACCAAACACACTTTTAAAACTTAATGCTATTCTGATTCTGATTTTAATTTCAACTTCAATTTTAATTTTAATTTTATTAAAAATTCTTCCATCATACCAAACGAAACCTCGTTACTCCCTCCATTAAAAAATATAAAATATTTTTAACTGAATCTTGTTCCTTAATAAAATAATTATTTATCTTTAAATTAACACCATCTTTCTATAGTTACCCTTATTTAATAAAGTATTTTACTCTAAAATAAATATAAAGTAATTTACTCATAGGGATATTTAAAAAAAAACATAATGATTGTGTCTTAAAACATTAAAAATATTTTATATTTTTTAATATTTATTTTTTTAAAAAATACCTTATATTTTTAAATAAAGAAAAATCGTAAAGCAGAAGAAAAGAATATCATGTTTGGAGTAGGAGGGATTTGAGTTTAAAACCAAAATCCATTGCGTATGCATACACAATATTTTATGTGTTTGAAGCAAAAAATTTTATCAAAACTCTTTTAAAATCCTAAATACCTAAAATACTCTAATTGTTTCACATCTTAATCATTCTTTTTTAATATTATTCAAATATCTGGACAACTCATTTTTATTGGTGGGAATTTTTTATATTATCTAAAAGATTTTAAACACATGCCCCATTTTAAATGTAAAATTCAAAATTCAAAATCGTCATATACTATGGAATGCTTATTGCACAATGATTGTTGCCTGCAAGTATAGTGCTTACACATGCATGCTGTTGAACGTCCGTTTCAACGAAGAGTGGTCGTTGGCCCAGCAAAAAAACAAAAAAAATGATGAGCGGTCACTCACTCCTGGCCCGTGTGTGCGCATGCCATCCACGAACAAGACGCTTTCTGGCTAGTGTCCCCCACACAACTGGCTGCAGCTCAATCCGTGACTACACGAACATGTCATCATAATGAAAAGTATATTTATTTATTAACAATTAAAAATAAAAAAAATTCATACACTTAACCTTATATAATTATAATATTTATTTATAATTAAATAAAGATATATAAATATTTTATAAATTATTTATTTCATAACAGTATTATTATTAATATTTTTAACAATTTAAATTCACTTGTCTTAATTTGTTTTGAATAAAATATATTAAATATATAAATTTAAATATATTAATGTTACCCATTAAAAATTTGAATTTGTTGCCTTAAATAATTGCCTGCGCAATTTAATCTTGTTCTGGTTTTATTTTCTGTCTCGTTTTTCTATCAGTCATGCGTCATGACGCCTTGATTAATTAGGGATTTTTAATGTTAATGAGGCTATTTATATATCATAAACATTATATAGGAGTATATCACTAATAATACATTTTTCTCATGTTGATAATTTATTTATCAGAATAATCACACAAGAATAATTATATATGTACATATAGGTTCTTATTGCTCGAGAAACTAACAGTGAAGCTGATTGCCTTGGCTAAGAAATATCTCTCTCTCTTCCTTTGGGGTTTTCATCGACTTTTTTGCTGATTTTTCTTGATGTTGTTTATTTGCATCCTGTTCTGTTTTGATTTCCGTTGCATATAAAAATAAATAAAAAACTACACATGATGTTTATCACCATATTATAAACTAAATAAATATTACTAGTCTATGTCAAGAGTAACTGCCAAAACCTTGGGGGAACAAAGAGATTTATCACCTATTCATAAAAAATTATAGGTACTGAATGCTGATTACGCTTATTATGGAGAATACCTTTTTTTTTTTTTTTTCCAATCAAAATAAATAAGACTGTTTTGTAAGGGGTGAAAGGCGTGAAGGGGGCTGCCATCCATTAAGTTACATGCCGGACGTTGCTAAGTTTCATTTTCATCACCATTCATCGCCATGATGTCTGGGATCCATTAAAAGGAGAAGAGGAAAGAAATTGAAATCGAAAATACTATAGCGGAGTTTTGATTTCTAATTTTATTTAAAATTTTAATTTATTTTTTTTGTTTTTATAAGTATTTTTAATCCTCTAACATTAATTTAATTTTAAATAATTATTTTTCATATCAATAATGTCTATTTATAAAATAAATTTAATATGTTAATATTTAAAAATTTTTATGAATATTTAAAAATTTAATATATAAATTTTTTGTAATGAAATTAATATATTAGAATTAAAGAATTGAAAAAAAATTCTATAAAATTAAATAATTAAAATGAAATCTTACAATTAAAATATTAAAATATACTTTAGTCAATTGAAATTGAAAATATAATTAAAAAATGGTAGATATGTAAAATAAATAAATCAATTACTATTTTCGATTGGAATCAATTATTATTTTTCGATGCAATCGCGTAATTCCTCCACAGTCCACACCGTGCATTCCTTTTTATAATTTTTTTTTTTTTAAAACACCCTTGGTGCCACAAAATGTTATAAAGACGAAGACTACCGGGTAGCCAGAAGCTCAAGCTCAAAGCGAATATCATCAGTTCATCGCTGATTACACTTCACTGTACCAAGCTGCGTTGAAGGCCTTGAGGGCGGGACCAAGAGGCCAATCTCTCCCTTTATTGCCTGCCATGCCTCCCCAAGATCACGACCACGAACAACCACTTTTAGTGGACTCTATCCCTGACAAACAAACAGCCGAAGCCGCTTACGATTCCTCCGAGAAAGTTGTGGTCGTCGGAATTGATGAGTCCAACACTGACTGCGACGACTCGGATCGTGTCCCGCCGTTTTCATGGAAGAAGCTATGGCTCTTCACTGGCCCTGGTTTCCTTATGAGCATTGCTTTTCTCGATCCTGGAAATCTTGAGGGAGATCTTCAGGCTGGCGCAATTGCTGGCTATTCCCTCTTATGGCTTCTCATGTGGGCTACGGCTATGGGGCTTCTGGTTCAGCTTTTGGCTGCACGGCTAGGAGTGGTGACTGGGAAGCATCTGGCTGAACTCTGCAGGGAGGAGTATCCAACTTGGGCGAGGATGATTCTGTGGGTTATGGCGGAGTTGGCTCTGATTGGGTCTGACATTCAAGAGGTTATTGGGAGCGCTATCGCTATCAGAATTCTCAGTAACGGTATTGTACCCCTTTGGGCGGGGGTCATCATCACAGCTTGTGACTGGTAAATAATTAATCTCATTTTTTTAGTGCTTGCAGTTGCTTTTCTTAGTTGATTTAAAAAAAAAAATCTGCTGCGTCCTCTGCTTCTACGAAGGACTGTACTTTGCACAAGGTTTTATGTTTTGGCTCTTCGAAATTTTTACTGGTTTTATCGGAAGCGAAGCTCTCAAAATATCTAATAGTGGCTTTGGCATTAGATGTTCTTGCTAGTATTTGCGGGATATTTAGTCCTTTTTTGGCTCAATGGAATATCATCTGAAATTTGGAGAGTAGTTGTTGTTGGATTGAGACCTCTGCTTGAGTTTAAAATGAAAATGCTTGTTGACGTCCTCAAACCATTGCCTTCATGATTTTTTCGCTCTCGAGTTTCTTGAACAATTTTGTTTATTTGCCTAACCATGTCGGCTGAAGTCAAAATAAACACTGGCATGTATTTGTTTCCTTGTTACAGTTTTATTTTCCTATTTCTTGAGAACTACGGCGTGAGGAAATTGGAAGCATTTTTTGCTGTTCTCATTGGTTTAATGGCCCTCTCATTTGCGTGGATGTTTGGTGAAACAAAGCCTAGCGGCAAAGATCTTCTTCTCGGTAGGGACAGAGAAGTTTATTTCTCTGCTTTGGATTACTTCTAATTTATTAGAAAATTAGTGTTCTTTTGCTTTATATCTGATGCAGAATCTGATTAACCTGTGTAGGTATTTTGGTTCCGAAACTTAGCTCCAGAACAATACAGAAGGCTGTTGGAGTTGTGGGTTGCATTATTATGCCTCACAATGTATTTTTGCACTCTGCACTTGTTCAGTCAAGACAAGTTGAGCAGGGCAAGAAAGGCCGAGTTCAGGAAGCGCTTAACTATTATTCTATAGAGTCAACTGCTGCCCTTATTATCTCCTTTATCATTAATGTATTTGTCACGACTGTGTTTGCAAAGAGTTTTTATGGTACTGACCTCGCAAATAGCGTTGGTCTTGTGAATGCTGGCCAGTATCTTGAAGAAAAGTATGGAGGTGGACTTCTTCCAATCTTATATATATGGGGTATTGGGTTATTAGCAGCTGGTCAAAGTAGCACTATTACTGGGACTTATGCTGGACAGTTTATAATGGGGGGTTTTCTTAATTTAAGGTTGAAAAAATGGATGAGGTCATTAATTACACGAAGTTGTGCTATCATTCCAACTGTGACAGTTGCTCTTGTCTTTGAAACATCAGAGGACTCATTAGATGTTCTAAATGAATGGCTTAATGTTCTCCAATCAATTCAAATCCCCTTTGCACTCATTCCCTTGCTCTTTTTGGTGTCCAAGGAGCACATAATGGGCGCTTTCAGAATTGGCCCTGTCCTCAAGGTATCCCTTTTTAGCAATTAGTTATGTTTATCATTGATCAGTTTATATTTTCAGTAAAAGAATTTGAAATTACAAATTATTCATTCGGTATGACATTGTTATCTGTATTTATGCCCTTGTGAGGATTAACTAATTCAAACTGCGACATTTAGTTGAAACAACTTAGAACTGGCCCAGTGCAGACCCTTTTATCTTGCACAATCGTCCTTATGTCCCAATTCTGTGTAGAAATTTAGTTCGATCTGATAGAGCTAATTTGTTTGCCTGGTTCCGCTTTCTCACCTTGAGGGTTACAGGGAGGTTGGGCTGTATCCATTGAACTCTTTTTGCTGATCTTGAAGACCTGTAGTGTGATCTACACTGTATACTTTACCAACATTCGTATTGTGGCGTGTTCATAAAGAATTAGAGGATATTCTGTTTTCAATAGCCTATTATGCGGTCTATTGGGTTTTGATCAATTTAGAGTAAATCATGAGGCTGATTAACAGGTTAATCCCAGTCAAAAACTGTCTGCAGCAACTTAGATGGACAGACGCGTCTCTTTGTATTGACCTGTGCTTATATATGCCTAAAAATAAATATAGTCTGTCAATGTGGTCTTTTCTGGAAAGATTGAAGGTTTGCCAAAATTTGACAACAGTTTCAAAGGCTTCTTTCCTTGTTTCTTTCTTTTTGTGTACTGGTGAATTGCCCCGTATCAGAGGGTTCTGATTGCAATATTTGTGGTGCGCCTTGCAAGCAACAGTATTTTAAACCATATATTCTCTGAACCTAGGATGCATTTATCTCGTGTGCCAACATCACTTGTACCTATATTGTAGTTTGGTGATGAGTTGAGTTTGTTTTGCCTTTTTTTTTTTCCTGGATTGAATTTCATAGTGGTTTTTGATATGAACACAGATCATCGCATGGTTTGTAGCTGCTCTAGTGATAATGATCAATGGGTATCTTATGCTAGAATTCTTCAACTCTGAGGTCAATGGAGTAATGTTTGGTGCTGTTGTGTGCGCTTTTACGGCTGCATACGTTGCATTTATACTTTACCTCATTTCAAGGGCCATCACCTTTTCCCCTGCGCAAAGTTCATTACAATCGAAGATGATTACTGACTCACAGAATTAAGTGATCAATCTGAAGCCAGGTTTACTGAAAGAGGGGCAAGCACCACTTGGCTCTAAGTTTTGGTTAGTCTGCAAGCACATTCATGCTTGTTACTTGTATAACAACTTGCTGCAGCAGGCAGTGGCACCTTATCGTTTGTCTATGCTTTCAGTTTGAACAAGTCATCAGTTGATGTTTCTGTCTTGCTGTCTGAATTCTATTGTACAGAGGAGCTATAGGCATGATGTAGTTGAGTGAAATCTTAGCAGCGATAGCATTCAAACGGCAAATGATAGCTCCTCTTCCTTCATTCTTTTTGGCTTGCTCAATTGTGCGCCTATGGTCTTATTCAAACTGTGCCACTTGTTAATAGTCAAACATGTCATGTCTCAAACTGTTGGGAATGTAATTGTTAGACTGTTATGTTAATGAAAATAATTTAAGAAGTTTTGAATCAAGTTTTTTTTTTTTATTCCAGCGTAAGGTGCCTAAAAAACTTGGAAGTATTAACGCCTTTCGCGCAGACTAACTACCTTGTTGTGTTGGAATGTTATTATCAATGATAAGCTCATGAGTATTTTGGTGATGCCTCTGTACTTTTTCTTCTTTCTTTTTTTCTTTCTTTTTTGTTTTTTTTTTTCACCTAAGGTATCCTACAATTGATAGTCATGAGATTAATCTTTTAAAAATTTTGAGCACCACTTAAGGGGTGTCTTCTCTTAAGAGATATTTTTTTATTCACTCATTTAGCAATCAATCCTTGAAATGATGCTTAAAAAGTCCAAACTACTATTATTTATGTCCAGATCTGAACATGATTGCATATCTCAAACTTAAATTTAAAATTTTAAAATAAATTAATTCAACTCTTTTAACAAGTTAAACCAAATGTTACTCGGTAAATCAAGTTGTATTTTATTTTGTTAAGTGGGTTGTCTTGTTTCTTTAAACAAGCAAAAAGAAGAAAACGAGACATGAGCATTCGTGATGTTCACTGTATTATTATTTTATTTTTTATTAAAATATGAATTCTGTTGTTTATTTATTAAAGTCAACACTTTTTTTTTAAATGCCTGACATAAAAAGAAATAAAAAAATGATAATAAAATCTCTCTAATATATATAAATAATAATTTGATTCTTCAAAATGTCATAATTTTTCTAAAGTTCTTAGAAACTTTTATGGTATTAATGAATTTATATAAATTATCAAATTGCCCTTGTTGAAAATAAATAATTCACAAATTTTGTTTAAATATTCAAAATTTTTTTTATATTCACAATAATGTAACAACAAATTATAACTTTACATGTTAAATTTTTTATTTGTTGTTGCATTGTTATGAATATTTAAATAAAAATTATTAATTATTTATTTTTAATAACGATAATTTGGTAGTTTATATAAATTCATTAATGACATAAAATTTTCTAGAAATTTTGGAAAAATTATGATATTTTAAGATATTAAATTATTATTTATATATTTTAAAAAAATTTATTATTATTTTTCAAAAAGAAATTCATGCATAACGTAACGCCAAATGTGGCTCACCCTTATCCATCTCTCTTTATTTCTTTAATCTTGGATTGCTTTCATTTGAAATGAGCGGGCCAATTAGTTTAGTGGAACCGATTCAATTTTCCTTAATTTATATTGAGACTTTTGTGGATAAAAAGAAACACATTAAGATAAAGTCATGCAAGCAAGCTCAACTTGACGGGCCAGCCTGTTAATTTTTATAAGTTGAGTTGATAAAGTGGCCTGAATAAAATTAGGTTGGCCCAACTTGTAAAAAACTTGCATGCTAGTTGGACTAACTTGTCAATTTATTTTTTCTTTTCTTTTTTTCTTTTTTTGTAAAAAAAAATTTGAGTGACAAGTAATAAATCTCATCTTTTCTCAAACATACAAATAAACAAGCCTGCATTGTAAGGGTGGAATGGTGAACTTTTTGACTTTTACTTGTGTGAAAGTTGTATCTTGAAATTATTGTTCACTTCACTGCTGCTTATTCTGTTTGTGTGTGGTTCATAGTTTTGAGTTTGATAACTAATAGCATTAGTTAAATTGTTAATTTGTTCTTTACCAAAAAGAAAATTGTTAATCTATTTGTGTGTGATTCATGATTTTGAGTTTGACAATGAATAGGATTAGTTAAATTGCAAATATAATGTTAATAAAGGGAAGGTGAAAATGCCTTTATACGTGCAACCTTTTTCTTTTACATGTTGAAGAAAATAAAGACAAGAACTTAATAATAGTATTTTGAGTATTGTGTTCGCTTAAAAATTGACTTGTTATTAATTTGGAGTTTAAGCAGACTTTAAACTCAAACAATGTGTTGTTGCACAATTTAAATTATAGAGACTGTATCTAAATGCTTGTTAATTGTTAATTTACTATGGAGTGTGGACTAAAATTTGCTTAATAGGATTCTTTGTTTTATTTATTTATTTACAAGTTGTATAACTACTAATTTGCCCTTAAATGTGAACTAAATATATATATTTATATCGTTTAAATTTTAAATTGTTAAAGAATAAATTTTGATATATTTTTGTGGGTTAGCTCATAAGCTAGTTAGTTTGTCAGAAAATAGGTTGGGTTAAATTTTTCAATCTATTTTATTTGACAAATTGATCCAACTTAACTTATAAAAATATTAGCTTGCATGAGTTGGCTTGTAGCCCATTTACCTAGTGCTACGCTAGGGGTTATTCCCATCTGAGATGATAGTTTGTGATATTGATATTAATAACAAAGAAACCAAGTAATCAACTCATGCTTATGAACCACTGCTCTTTGCCTTTAGCTAAGTGATCGGAACTTGATCTTTTTTATAAGCCCAATTATGAGAATGGCATGACTTAGTTACTTAATCATATATACTTAACATGTTTTAATATGATTATATCAAAACAAGAAAGTTTTAATGTGATGATAATATTAATAATAGAGTTTGTTATAAAATAAAGAATATGTAAAAAATAAATATATTTTAATTTAATTAAAAATAAATATATTAAATATACAAGGTTAAACATAGAAGCTTTTTTCCTTAAATCTATATTTTACACCCTTATCATTTTCTGTCACTGCGATCAATAAAAAATGACAATTCAAATTTAACAATAATTTACTTTTATATTTTAAATATGAAAACCATGAACAGCATATCCTACCTCAAGCTTTATGCGAAATACAAGCTCACAATCTAATTAGTAGCCCAAACACACGGCAAATTTGATAAATAAATTGTAACAAAACTCAGGTATATTAATAGAATTTTGATACATGAAAAGCTATTTGCTCCGATCCTATTTATATGACAGTACTTTTTAGTTGTTTATAAGTCACATAATGAAATATTCATCACAATTTTTTCTTTTTACATATAGAATGTTGAAAAGAGAAAATATATTATTAAAATAGGTATATTTAATAGAACTTATAGTTGATAATTTATTAAATTTTTAAATAGAATTAATAAATTTTAAGATTTTTTTATTATAGTGAAACATGTTAGGAGCAGTGTTTTAAAAACCGGACAATCCGACCAAGCCAACCGTCACTCACTAATCAAAATTAGTTGGACCAGTCTAACAATTGAATCGGATTGACCCAATCGATCTTGAGAGAATTGAATTTGACCCAAAAATTAGAGCAGGCCAACCCGATTCAAAGAAAAAAGAAAAAAGAAAGAAAATAAATTTAGATTAAGTCACTTAAATTCACATTTTTCTCTTTTAATTTTTAGTTCTTTTCTATCCTCTCTTATCTCATCTCTAATCTCTTCTCTATGGCCTAAGCTCAATATTTGACCTCTTCTCCAGCCTGCTTCCAACTTTAGCAATCTCGTCTTTAGCATCAAGATTGAAAACTCGTGAGTTGTGATATGATAACGTGCTTCTAACTCTAATATTTTGCTTCGAGATTACGAGCTTGTATCAATATGCCTCTGCATCTAGCTCCAAAGATCCAAGCGTCTAGCCTTTAACATTAAGATCATAAGTACCATCAACAAATTAATATTTTATTTATATAATTGCGTATATAAATATTATTTTTATGTCACCGATTCAACTTTTGATCTAATCAGTTAAATTATGAAAATCTCACTGCTCTTTTCAATTTAACATCCAGTCTAAGTTTTAAAATATTAGTTTGGAGTGATTTATAAACATGACTATATACATCTCTATTTTTACTAGGAAATAAAAATAAAAATTACGAGAAGTTTAACTCGTGGGCCATGCAATTTCGGAATCAATTATTATCGTGTACATTTACAAGATGGCATAATGATTACAAATTTTTGGGTGCAGTTCATTCACTTTTTATACATTTAAAAAAGTTCAAAAGATAAAAACAATTAAAATATTAACAAAGATTGAGTTTAATAAAAAAAACTTATTTTTTATATCATAAAAAATTTTGAATTTTCACTAAGAGAGTTATTTATATTTAATATCTGATAATGTCTCTAACAAAATAACCTCTAATAAAAGGATATATGTGGGTAACACAAAAAAAATGTAAATATTTTAAGAAAAAATTAATTTGCAAGTTTTTATAATTTTACTCAATTTTAAATTAAGTCTTTATATGCTATTTTGTTTTAATCAAACTTTTATAATTTAATCTATTATATATGCCAACTCATGAATGTTAAAATTAATATCAAATTATTAAATTTCACTAAATAAAAATATTCTTGTGCTGTGCTTGACTCACAAGAGAAGAAAAAATGTGAAAAGAGAAAATGAAAAAAAAAGTAAAGGGATGTAATTTTCTCTCCCTATACTTAGATGAGTGAGTGAAAATGGGAGGAAGAAAAAATTATTAATTCCATACATATAATAATAACTTTATTACTTATATATAAAAAATTTAATATTTTAACATATTATTTATATAATTTTTATTGTATATTACTAATTAAATAAAAATATAATTATAAATTCTTTAATTGATATTGGAAAAAATTATTTTGTCCAATTTTAATTTTAATTTATTAAATTATTAAATATATAATAATTTAAATTATGAAGTATGCCGGGGAAATTAGGATGAGAATAAAGGGAGGGAACAGAAAAACTCATGAATACAGTTAAAAATTAATTTTTTTTTAAATTTCCTGACATTTGGAGAGAAAAGTTGAAAATAAAAATATACCAATATTACGTGTTATTTTCTTTCCATTTTTTCTCACTTTCAATTTTTTCCTCTTTCATCAAGTTGGGAAAAATAACATTTTCTTCATACTTTTCACTCTCACTTTCCCTTCTTACTTTTCTCCCCTACTAATCATAACATTATAATTTACAGAAAATTTAATTTAATGTTTTTAACCAAAATTTAAAAAAAATGATTTAGTATACTGTTTACATTTTTATTAATTTTTAATAAATATTGTATATGTATAAAAATATTTAGAAAATAACTTAATTATATAAATTTTAAGTTATAAAAATTATGTAATTAATTCTAAAATTAAATATTTATTTAATAAAAATGTAAAATGTCTTAATTTTTTAAATTTTTTAAAAGATTTTAACCTTAAGGTCACAAAATTTAATTCATTAAAATATAAAGATTCAATTAACACAAAATAAATGATAGAAATATAATTCTGAATAAAATTAGACTTGCAAATATATTTTCCCAAATTTTAACAACTCAATTTTTAAACAGTTTGAATTATTTTTCAAATTTTATATAATTTACTAACTTCACATCTATTCAAGCTTTTAAGCTAAATAAATAAATAATCTCATACTGGTAAACAGAGAGCTATTCCATTGGGAATAAAATCCAGTGTAAATATAACACACACACACGAGCGTTCAATTAATTTAATTAATCAATACATATTTCGGGCACGGCTGGCGTAACTTGCATCCTTCCTTCCCTCCTTTTTCTCTGATCAGGTGGAGGTAGTTCCTGCGTGGCATTCACCCACCCTCCTCCCTCTCTTCCTCGCATTTCGATCTGCTCCACCGTGCGGAGCTCGATTCGTATTCCAACGCCAACTCATACTACTAACTCATGGCGCGGGAATCAGCTCACCGAATTTTTACCTTCTCCCTAATCCTATGCCTTGCGCAGTTCATTCCTCGGATTGTGGTCGGGGTCTCCGGCGGTCCTAGCCACATTTTGCACTACGGGGAGCTCCACGAAGGCGCTCGCCCTTCTATGATATTGCCGCTGTATCTCTCTGCTTCCAATTCTTCCGTTTCCGCCTCCGATTCCCGTCGCCATCTCCAGAGATCCGAGGCCCAACACCACCCTAACGCTCACATGAGGCTCCATGATGATCTGCTCCTTAACGGGCAAGCTCTTGATTTATATGCGCTTCTTCTACGTGTCCCTTTGCTCGTCGTGTAGTTACTTCTGGCTGTGTGTTTATGGGCTCTGTTAAATTCAGATTTGTGAATCCTTCGGGGATGCGATGGTGCAGGTACTATACCACGCGGCTTTGGATCGGGACTCCTCCGCAGATGTTTGCTCTTATTGTTGACACGGGAAGTACTGTGACGTATGTCCCGTGCTCTACCTGCGAACAGTGTGGCACGCACCAGGTTATCCTTGGAGTCTTAATTCTTTGTGCATACATATTTGGATCAATAGGTTAATTTACACAGTAGATTGATTAGCCGAATCCTTCTATTTTCATATTGTTTATGAGGGGAGAGTTGTTGTAGAAACTTATGATCTAAGAAGAAACTTCTATTACATTATTCTATCAATTTGCCGAAAAGCAAAACAATCAGCACTTATTTGGAGGAATGTTCCCTTCCAAACAAAGAATAGGTTTCCTCAAACAAAATAAAATAGGCCCTTATTGAATAGCCAGAGTCTACCAAAATACTAAGCATAATAAATCTACAAAAATACTTATTAAATTAGAAATTACTGAAGTATTATTCAGACCTAAAATTTCAGCGTGTCCACGTCTTTGTTTGAGAATCTAACGATCAGCATCTCATTTCTTCTCTTGAAAGACATAATTGCATAGGAATGATGTCATTCGTAACTGCTTGCGCTTGTGCATGTGCACTCATATAATTTATCTAAAGTATCACTAGATTTGCTGCCTGATCTTATTTTAACAGGACCCGAGGTTTCAGCCAGAATTGTCAAGCACCTATAAACCTGTCAAATGCACATTGGATTGCAACTGCGACAGTGACAGGAACCAATGCACATATGAGAGACAGTATGCTGAAATGAGTACTAGCAGTGGTGTCCTTGGTAATGATGTCATATCATTTGGAAATCAAAGTGAGCTTGACCCTCAACGTGCTGTTTTTGGTTGTGAAAATCTCGAGACTGGTGATCTTTATAGTCAGCATGCTGATGGCATCATGGGTTTGGGCCGTGGAGATCTCAGCATTGTGGATCAACTAGTTGAGAGAAGTGCAATAAGTGATTCTTTTTCATTATGCTACGGTGGAATGGATTTTGGCGGGGGTGCTATGGTTCTTGGTGGAATATCTCCCCCATTAGACATGGTCTTTGCATATTCAGATCCGTGCGCAGGTGTGTATTGCAAAATATTTATCTAATGGATAGAGATATCATGCATTTTCTTAGCAAATGCATTTGATTAATCTCACACATTTACTCTAGTCTTGGGATGGCAACAGTCCATACTACAATGTCAATTTGAAGGAAATACACGTTGCTGGGAAGCAACTCTCTTTAAACTCAAAGGTTTTTGATAGAAAACATGGAACTGTGTTGGATAGTGGTACAACGTATGCATACCTGCCAGAAGAAGCGTTCCTAGCATTTAAAGATGCTGTAAGCTTTTTTCTGATTATTATGATTGCAAGTTGTTGCAGCATGCTTTCTTGAATCTTATCTTTCATTTGACCAGTACTGGATTGTTTTCCCACCTAGTGTGTCTTAACTTATTGTTAAAAATCTTATGTTTATTATCCAAGTACTGCCATCTGCTTCTGAAGGGATTCTTACTTTAATGATTACAGGCTTAAGTGACATATAAGGCTAGAGATTCAGATATCTTAATGTTTTTCTAATGATATTTATTTTATTGGAAATCTATATATGGTAATTATAATGGCACAATTCATATTTCTTTTTCTTTTTGGTATTCTGCACATTTCATATTTCAATTCTCATGATTTGTGATGAGTTATAAAATCAATGATATGAAACGATAGTTCGATCAGCATTGAATCTTAAAATTCAAGATATTATGGTTGAGTGACTTGACTAAACACGTGGAAATGTGAGTTGGCATGACATTGTTACATTGTTATTGTTATCAAGTGTTGCCCATATTTTTTATATAGAAAACAAAGAAATATTTTTCTTGAGACTATTTTTGAAAATTAATTACTTACACATGATATAACTAGTGAATTATCTATGACTAAGGGAGAACAAAACCAAAAAAAAAAAAAAGGATCACACCAGACCTATTCAAATCCCAAACCAATCCAATAAGAACCGAATAAAACCAATCCAACCATATCATTTGATTTACCAATTGTGCAAGTCTCATGCATTGTGTCTATCTCTTTCTGAATGACAATTTCAGAGGAAAGTTGGGGATCCAAATCTACGTTTTGCAGCCAAGCTGCTTTGATAATTTCTTCAGTCCGATTGATGCTTGTTCTTTTCTAACTTCTAGTTAAATTTTTGCTGAAATTAAGGCCACTTAACCTTCTTTTGAATAGATATTTCTTCACAGCATGGATCATATTCCTTGGTAAATCAGTATTAGGTTGTCCTGAGTCATGATTTTTTAGCAAGTCTATGCCATACCGGCTTGTAAGTTTTCTATGAACTCTAAGTAGTAAGTACTTTGAGTAGGCATCCAGTCACATGTCTTATCCATTTTCATTGCCTCATTGACTTGTTTTTCTTATCAAGAAGTAAGCTTATGCAAGTTTAGAAACTTTAAGAATGATGGATGAAGGGAATTAGAAAGTTTTCCCTGATACAGTAGTCTTTTAGTATTAACATTGATGAAGCTGTAGTATGACCTACATATAGCCTTCCTTGCTATCCTTCAATCTCTATCAAAGCATTCTAAAACTAGAAATTCAACTGTGCAGTCAAAAGTATGTGCACTTTATGAATCACAAGCATTCTGTATGCTGTGTTGCCATATATAGTTTTACTCGTCCATTTTCTCATATCATCTACGTGTCAAATGATTAGTTCATGATCCGTCATCCTGTTTATGATATACATTTTAATGTATAACCTTTCTAAAATCAAAAGATGAAAATTCTGTACTTGTCTCTGGTTCCTTGATAGTTGGCATCTTTTCACTACTGGCAGCCTCAATGGTTGTTTTTTCCCCTTAATTTTTTTTAAAAAAAACATTTTTTGCTTGCTGGCTCAAGAAAATCAGGATTTAAGTATATATCTTGCTTTTAGCACCAGGACATTAAGTTGTGTTTTTTCTATTTTCGAGAAGTTCTAGCAACAGCATTTGATGAAACTGGTTATGTATTTATTATCTGCAGATCAAGAAGGAACTTCAATCTTTCCAGCAAGTACCTGGTCCCGATCCAAATTATAATGATATATGCTTTGCCAGTGCTGAAATGTACTTCTGAAGTATTGCCTATGAATGAAAATAAATTCTTTCATTGTGCTTTTATTAATTTGAAATTACTTCTATTTCAGTGCTGTTTCGCAACTCTCTAAAAGCTTTCCAACAGTTGACATGGTATTTGGAAATGGTCACAAATTGTCTCTGTCACCTGAAAACTACTTATTCCGGGTTAGTTTTTAAATGAACATCACGAGTATCTTAAGTTGTGTCTATCTTATCTTTCCTGACCTTATATTTTATGGTTCTATCTCTTATGAAGCATTCAAAAGTGCGGGGTGCATATTGTCTTGGGATTTTCCAAAATGGAAAGGATCCAACTACTCTTCTAGGAGGTATTCTATTTACTTGTAACATCCTGCCAATTCATGATTTACCCTTGCATGAATTGAAAACTAGTTATTTAATGGTTCTTGGATTGTACACATTGCCCCTAAATTATGAGCTTCTCCAATACTTTGGTGATCCTTCTTAAAATATATTTGTTTGTATAGGTATCATTGTTCGAAACACTCTTGTAATGTATGATCGAGAGAATTCAAGGGTTGGTTTTTGGAAGACTAATTGTTCTGAGTTATGGGAAAGGCTACAGCTATCTGCTTCCCCACCGCCAAAGTCGTCTGAAGGAGCAAATTCTTCTGAAGCTTTTGCACCTTCAGCTGCTCCATCTGCATTACAGCACGATTTGCATCTGGGTATAGTACATGGCTGATCTTTCAATGCGTTTGGAAGTAGATGTTCTGACATCATATTAATTATACGGGATGAGATACTGTATAATATATGTATTTGCACAATCTGTGGACACAGTTCATTTTGCTTCTTAATTGTTTTAGAATTTAGTATGATTACTTCATATGCTTACTTATGTGTGTTTTGATTAACTTTAAACGTACAGGGGAATTCCAAATTGCACAAATAACAATTGAAATTTCATTTAACATCAGTTACTCAGACATGGAAGATCAGATTGCAGACCTGGCTGGACTCATAGCTCATGAGTTAGATGTTAACACCTCACAGGTTGGAAAAGGATGACTAAATGCAGGAACTTTTTGTTGCACTGTTGCAGTTTTAACTTTAATTAAAAATATGCTAAATTTACATGATAGTATGATATGATAACAGGCCACTTGGGCTGGTTGGGTTTTTGGGTTATAGATTTTTCTGTCAAGTTCAGTATTTTCCCATGTGCCAAAAATTATGCACTTCATAGTAATTTTATTTCAGGATAATAATAACTGGGTATATTTTAACAGGTTCACTTATTGAATTTTTCTTCTCTTGGAAATGCTTCCCTCTCTAGATGGGCCATAACCCCAGACACATCTTCTGATTTCATGTCTAACACAACTGCGATGGTAGGTTGAAACTTGTACTGGTGCGTCAGTGAAGACTTCCCACTAATGTTGATATTCTAAATGGCAGAGTATAATTTCCCGGCTTGCTGAACATCGCATGCAACTTCCTAGCACCTTTGGAAGTTATAAGTTGGTTGGTTGGAATGTTGAGTCTCCATCAAAACGGTAATTTTCCCTTTTTATACGAAAAAAATAACAATAAAAATAAAAAGAAAGAAAGAAAAAGAAGTTGAAGTTGTAATAAATTTCCAGATTCAGTCATGTAACCCGTATTGCATTTGTTGTTGTTGTATCACTTTCAATTTTATTATTTATTGTGTATGCAATACTTAGTTAGATCTTGCTACACATGCAGACTAGTTAATTGACCATTCTCTGTCACGTGGTTGTGTGCCTGTAGAAAGTAGAAACCCAAAGCTTTTATTTGTTGTATACGGGTGAGTTTTTACCTATAACCTCTTCCCATCTCATCGCCTTTTTCTAAAATGATGCAGGAATTGGTGGCAGCAATATGGTTTGGTGGCGACTATGGCTATTTTAGTTACATTGCTCCTTGGATTATCAGCTACTGGAATATTCTTGATTTTGAAAAACAGACAGCAGCAAGTTGTGCATTCATACAAGCCAGTTGGTGTTTCTGTTCCAGAGCAGGAACTTCAACCATTTTGAGCCATGATCAATCATGCAACCGGAACTGATTTGATCAAAATTTTGTTTCCTAAAAATGCTGTCCATGACAGTGTCGAGTGATCATCATTAAACAATAGAGGTATAGCAAGATTTTTATTTCTTCATATTGTTTTAGTAAACGCGATTTTGTTTGTGAATATTGCTGTGTATAGGTGAAATTAAGAGCGGAAGCATGAGGTTGATTGACAGTTTCTTGTGGAGAAATGGTAATTGTTTGTACACAACCACTTGTACGGTCTATTCAGCACCCAACCTTTTATCATTATTTTAATATAAAATAATGAATGATGTGTGTAACTTTTTATGATAAATAATACAAATTAATAACTATTGAATTTATGTAGTTTTTCATCTACTACGAACGCGATTCTTTTACGTGCTTTTTGCTTCTTGAAGCGTTCTGTGCGTGTATTTTTCCCCTTGTATCCTTTGCATTATGCGCCAAAAGTTCGTCTCCTTCAACCATGTTGTACAGAATCAGATACTACTACTCAAGTGTTAAAAAAAATGCGCACATGTAAAGAAAATAGGATTGGGAATCAAGGAAGTGTTGTCATTCAGAAAATTTCCAGGGCTTGCGGGATATTCCAGCTTGCTCTGGTTGCTGAGGCATTTTATCTTGCAGCGGTTCCGAAATCACTTGGTTTCATGAATACACAAATTCCAAGATTTGATGTCGTCTATTCGGTCTTCAACAGACTGGCCCCGCAAGGATGCTATCCATTTTCTCTCTCAGCGGTTTCCTGGTTCCATTTAATCCCCGATTACGCCAACGAAGTAGTTGACCTGTGGCTGTGACAATAGTTGCAGCCCATTATTGGAGCACCGAAATGTTATCAGCCCGTACACAATCAAACGCAACCGAGAAATGTGTAAATCAATCGTAACAGCAACTACTTATGTTGGTGTCAGAGAGTCAGTCAATGTGCTGTTATCCAACTTATCAAAATTGTTTGTAAGAATGTAGAGGTTGGGACTTGGGAGCTTCTCCAAATGACTATCTTTCTTACAAAACTCGTCTCTTTCCAGTTATCGAATTGTAAATGTTGGATATTCCTTTTACCTTTACAAGAGAAAAAAAAAAAATACTGAGAGTGAATATTTGCTTGTCAAGGAACCGGAAAACTACTTTTTTTAAATCATAATATAAATCATTTTTTAAAAATTTTACTTACTTAGTCCAAAGCATAGAGTATTGTGTAGAAGTTATATATTTTTTAAATTACATCTTTCCTTTGTTGGGTAATTGGTGATGGTGTTTTGAATAAGTAAAATATTATATTTATTGCATTTAAATGTAAGATTGGAAAGATATAAAAAATTTTAAAAAATTAAGATTTTATCTAACTTTTTTTTGAAAATGTAAATAAATTAACAATTAAATGTGTTCACAGGATTGTGGGACACCCCCTTCATATCCTATCCTTAAAAATGATAAAGACTAAATTTTTATCTCATATCTCATCATGTCTTGTCCAAAAGTCATTTTATTCCATTAGGAATTAAAATGGGACTTAGACATCCCGATAAATTGAACAATATAAAAGAAAGATTTGAATAACAGTATTCATTAAAATATTAAATCATATAGTTGTTAAATTTAAAATCAAAACGACATGAGTATATAAATTATAATAATTTAAAATCAATTATTAGTTACATCAATCAAAACTACAAGTGTATAATTTAAAGTTAAGTATACATCAGACATGACACATCATTACAACAACTATAAATGACCTCTAGGTTATAAAAGTAATAATAATAGATAAGTTAGATACAATATCAAGTTAGTATTATTCACTAATTGAGATATTTGAAGTTATTGATTCTTCCAAAAATAAAATAAAAAATATAATGCATTCATTTAAGAGAATATATATATATATATATATATAATATTCAGGACGTACATTTTGAAAGTAATTTGATGTTTCTTCCCGTCCCAAACCCATCTTTGTCCCATCCCTTTTTTGTTGGGTCAGAAAAAACTCATCTTGACATAAGTGGGATGGAATCAAGGCCAATTGAAATGGATATAGAGTTCAATATTCTTATTAACAATGATTTATATTATAATATGGGGGAAGCATAACTTTAAACAGGGGAACCGCTTGTTTAAGCTTTGTTATATTTACCAAGGTGTACGTTTCTCCAGCCAGAGCTCAAACCTTGTTGAAGATATTTTAAGAAAGCAGAACTCGGATTTTGGCCAAAACAATATTAACAGCTTGGATGAAAATGCTGAAGCCAATAAAAAATGTGCTAATAACTAGGTTCCGGGGAGAACCTTACCCTTTAAAATTATTTTCTTGCTGTCAAGCATACTGAACAAAATCAGAAATAAATAATTTAACTTTATAAATATATATGCACTAAAGAGTAAAGATCAACCTTGAGCGTTACATTAAATTATCCCCACTTATTCTTAGATTAAGATCAACCTTGTCAAGTTGCAATATGATTTTTCAACTTCGTTGTGGATCTCTGAATTAAAAGGCAGGTGTAGGGAATCTCCTGTACCTCGCTGCGAAGCATCGGCCTGTTTTTTCTGTTTTTTGTTTGGCCTCCCCAGCGCATTCTCCCTCCAAGGCTTCCTTTCATTTAGTAATTTATTGGGTGGCTGGTCATTTATTAAATGTTTATGTAATATTTTATTTTCAATGCACAGACCTTTTTTTCTGAAGACATGAACTGGATCCCCTTTAACGCATAGCCACTGCTTCCTGCCATTGATTGTTTAAAAATCATTTAAAAATGGAAAATGAATTCTCAGCTTCTCTACTAACTGATCTGACTATTGCATCTGTTGATGGTAGGATTAACGATTTTAGGATTCTAGTTGAAGTTTAGTGACGATCGATTTGTTTTCCAGAAATTTACATCGTGTTCAGATTTTTTTTTCTTTTAAAAGATCCATTATGAATTATGATGCAATACTAAATTATGGAAAAATCACTTACATGTTTATATTAGTGAAATTGATGTTAAAAAACGCACTGAAATTGCTTCCTAAAATAAATGGATTAATGCGATGCCTTCAAAGATTGGTAGCACTTCCCGGGCAAAAAAACAAAAAACAAAAAACAAAAACAAAAACAAAAACAAAAAAATTCTAAAAATTAGTAAATGATTTATGGGTCCATCCAAGCATTAAATTTTAGACTTTGTTTCCATTTTATCCACCACCGACAACTTGCACAGAGGATTTTCTGCACCAAAGAAGCTCTAAATTAAGGTTGCATGAAAGATTGGATGGGATTGAATTTTGATCTAACTTAAAGTTTGATTTCTTTTATAAAAAGAATTGGATTAGGTGACTCGTAATTTAGTCTGGTCTAATGATAATTTGAAGATTAACAGGATCAGACTTAGTCTATAAGATTAAAAAATTGGTCTTGTTAATCAATATTCACTTAGCTTTTTTTTTTCTTTATGAGAAGCAATAATCAATTTTAACCTAATAAACTCAATTAAGATAATTAAAACACTTATAATCATAATCAATCCATAATAATTTCCAACAACAAGAAAAAATATTTCAGTTATAGTCTAAGTGATCTAGATTATTAAATTATTAGTTTGAGTGTGCAACTAAACGAGAAATCAGATTTATTAAATTATTATTAATCTTAACTTATTATTGTAAACAATTAGTAAATTAATTATAATCATACTAAATAAATTTAATAGGACAGATTGGATTAAATGGTCTAAATGCTTAGTCTCCTGATCAATTTCACTCAAAAAAATAGTTTAATCTTTTTAATCTTGCTAGTACTAAAGGCCTAGTTTTTATTAAGACTGAATAAGACCAAATCTTCTAAGATTAGAATGGGTTGAACGGAATTCGGAAGACTTCTACACAGCCCTACCCTAAATAATTGCATGCTGTGCTTTCTGCAAACTGCAATTTCCTGAAACTGAGTTGTAATTGCTGCAGAGCTGAACAAGGATTCGCTTTGTTTGTAGCCTGATCCGCTGATCATTACAATCAATTCAAAAGAGACAAAAGAACAGTGGGACAGTAACACTGGACAGGACAAATGTTTAGAATGGTTGTGTGCTATTTGGGCATTGCTTGATTTTTTTTCCCCAGCCAAATGTCATTGCTTGCTCGGATGCGTGCATTTTTGCTTCTAGGGTAAGTACCCGTGGAGTCTTGTTTTTTACTGAAAGGGGCATTTCCTCTCTCTATGGCCATAAAAAGGGGCATTACCTTGTTCCATTCAATTTGTGGCAATCAAAGCCGCAAAAAGGAAAAGAGCGAGCCCAATAATGCAGACGTGCAGATGCAGTGTTGGCAAAGCAATATAAAGTTCATATAGTTTATCAACCAACTTTGGACTTCAAAAAAAGAATGACTGAGATCGCAACCCAATCTCTCAGGTGCATTGTATTTTTAATAAACTGAATTTAATAAAATTTAAAGTGAATCTGCCATAAACAAAATGAGAATGGAGTGGGAGGAATTCAATGCTGTTCTTTGAGTAAAGCAATGAGTAAAATTATGTTGTGAAAATTATCTTATTTAGTTTATATACTCAAATTTAGACTGATAAGGTCAATTTTTTTTTCCCAAGAGAAAGACAATAACGCATTTGATAATATTTAATGTTTTCAACAAAAATGTGACACCCAATAACATTACAAGAAGATATTTAACTCCTTGGATCACTCACCGAACGACCACAGGCAATTTAGGTACCTTTGATGATTTGAATGGCAAAACTGTCCCAACTGCGGGGTGGTGGCATTATTGTAAGATGTGGTTTTTTGACCTTCAGTGACGTGTGTGCTGTTTGCTCCTAACATTTCAATGAGAAACTTGATCATTACTCCAAATTTATGAGGGCGCTGGCGCCTCACACTTGGTTAGACAACACCTGCTCGTGTGTAATGTGATGGGAAGTATAGGAATTAGGAACATTTATTCTAAGAGTTCTTTTTTTTTTTTGGCCAGAGTTTAGATTGAAGGAAAAGTGAGAAGAAAATATAAGAGAAAGAATATTAAGAAGAAAAACACTTAAAAATATTATTTCTGACTTTTCCCTTCTAACATTGTTTCCTTTTCATTTGTCTCTTCATCCAAGCTAAGAACTAAAGTTTATATCTATATACCTACCTAGTCAATCAATTACTTCATTTCACGAGGGCACCAGACAAAAAATTGGCATTTCGTGCTGGCTGATAAATGAACTGATTTATTGTTACCTTCCAGAATAATAGATAGTTCTTGGTATGAGATCTTAATTATACTGAGTAAAATAGAAATGAAAAACCTTTGAAAAATTTAATATTTGATAAGGACCCTAAACAAATTGAATACTTATTAAAATAATAATTTCACTTGTTATTTTGTTAATGTTTACTTATTATAAATTTTATTAAATATTATATTCTTTTAAAAGTCATATTTCATAATGTTACCATTATGGATAAGTTGTGTTGAGGTCAGGAGAGAGAGTTAATTTTTATTTTGTTTCAAGTAAAAGAGCATTAGAGAGAGAGGGGGAGAGAGAGAAATCGACATCATCTCTTAACAACAAGGAACCAAAACGGATGTATAAAGCCAATCACTAAATCAGATTGAAAACATTTTAAAAATAATAATAGAACACCGATGAACAGAAGCATTCAATTTAAATTAACATAACAATAATGGCGACATCATTAGAATAATAAGCTTTTAAAGGGAACAAAGGTCAATAAATAAAATGTAAGGCCAAATGGGGCATGAAAGGATAACAAAAAGAAAAAGTGGAAAGATACAAGAATATCGAGACACAGAAAAAACAAAGTCTCTAGCAGATCAAAACAAGGGTAGCCCAGCCCAATGCTAAGCATCCAACAACTTCTTCAAGCACAAGATGGCTACCGCCCCGCTCTGCACCACACAAGCACAAGAATTTCAGAATTTCCAATCTAAATATCACTCATTTAGATTCATGTCAGGGAGAGTAAATAAATAAATAAATACAAATACACAATTTATGAAAGGCTAGACCATAAAAGAACTCATTATCTATGCAGTACATAAATCACAAGGCCCAATTCATAGTTGGATGTTTTTTTGAGAGACTTCAACAGCTCTTCAGAAAGATCAGTGGATTACTTCACGGGATCTCATCTCGATTTCCATTTTCCCATGTTGATTTAAGACTTCAAGACAGTACAAAATTATTTAAGTAAATGCTTAACTATGGTAAAAGACTAGAGTCAATCCCCCCCCCCAAAAAAAAAAAGAAGTAAAGGGGTAAAAAACTAAGGGAAGACTGGAGCGTGAAACTACAGTTCGGATCTACCAGTTCAAGATCTCAAGCACGTTGTGTCATTCAGCATGTTGGTGGTAAAAAGATCAAAAGAGGTAAAAGGATGAACTCCATTATGTACCTCATCGTTCGCAGATGCTGGTCCAGGAGAAGATGCATCTTCACTAGGTCCCGGAGCTCCAACGGGTGGTGCAGGTGGTCCTAGCAATGACGGTGACGGTGCTGGCGCATTGTGCTTCTTTCCCTTCTTCTTCTTCTTGGATTTGCTCGGTGCCGGAGCGGGGACCTCAGCTGTGGGTGCTGCAACAGGTGCGGGAGGAGCACTCGCCGGAGGAGTTGTCGGTGCGGGTGCCGGAGGAGATTTGGCTGGCGGTGAGCTCACTGGAACAGGAGCAGGGGGAGAAGTAACAGGAACTGGTGCTGGGGGCGAGCTCACTGGAGTCGCCGCTGGAGGCGACGATGCTGGAGGTTTGGTCACCGGAGCTGGTGCCGCCGCAGCCTTTGATGGAGAAGACGCCGGCGATGCCGATTTGGGAGATGATGCTGGGGTTGCTGCCTTGGGAGATGCAGCAGGAGGCGCCGATTGAGGAGAAGCAGCCGGAGCCGGTGACTTGGGCTTGGAAGGTGCTTGCGCCGGTGATGCAGCCGGTGTAGAAGCAGCCGGAGTGGTGGGTGATTTGGAAGGAGCAGCAGCCGGAGACTGACCACTGACGCCTGCGATGACAATGCAGATCAATGCGAGAGAGAGCACGCTTCTCTGATCCATTTTGCCGGTGAGAGAGGGAGAGAGAGTAGAGCTTGAAATTTGCAGGCAGGGAAAATCGTTTATATAGGCCTATGTACGATGAGGGCGTTGTCAGAACAAACGGACGAGTGCAGATTCATCTAGACCGACAAAACCAAGCGCGTCCCCCAATCAGATGGGTCACCACTAGCCGTTGGATCAACGTATATGAGAACACACAAACTTCGCTGGCTCGGGGAGCACGCGCTCTAGAAAGAAAACAAACATTAATGTGGCGACACAGGCTGTAATGAGGCCCACTTGGCGCATTAGGAGCATGTGACAAGGGAGAAATGATGAGAGAGTGTAGGCTTTTTTATTATTACTGATTAGCAAGAATGTGTGATTTGAACATTTCTTTGCTGGCTCTGATTTGGTGATGTGTGAGCCAATTAGCAGGGGTTGGTGATACAGCTGGATACAAGAGGTGGGCCATGGCCTGTGTGGGGACAAATCACTGTAAGCCACGCAAGGATAACCGGCAATAATTGCGCCAAAGATTACCGTGTGAGAGTTGGTATGTGGTGGTAACTTCAATCAAACACTACAGAGCTTATTTGCGTTTCTCTCACCCTCACACCACCCTCCCTGCCTTGAGCTCTTGACCAACAATCTCATCCACATCAATGCAGCCATCTAACTTCTCAGCCCGTCCTATGTCACGTATATAATTTAAAATGCGTTATTAGACTATCAGAGTAAGCCTCAAGCTCCATTTATTGGCTGACCTGCCATTTTTCACCTTCCAAATTACGGGGTCCCAAAATCATGAGATGATTGTTTGTAATTACAACAAATGAAGAAAGGAAGAGTGTTCCATGAATACAACAGAACCAAATAATAAACGGTGAGTATTCCAAAGACGAAGAAAGGAAGGGTGGCGGCAAAGAATGCTATAACGGCCACGCAGCTCCCAGATATGGACTGTTCAACGCCGCTGGATCTGCCATTCAGTCATAGCGAGCAATGCACACGCATAAAGTTTATTTTCATTTATAAATTTAAATTCTTTTTCTTACCGATAGGACTATATTATCTCTTGCTTTTGGTGCAAGTTGATGCCTGATATGCTTTTTGTTAGATGAAATTTTCTATACTCTTTGAAGCTCCAAACACTTAAACCTTTTACGGATATAAGCGAAGAATGTACTCATTGATATTTTCAGTATTTATACCACATGTATGTCAAGCTTTCAACTTTCACACGCAAATAGTGTGTGCGTGTGTGTGTTTCTTTTGTTTTTTGGGTAGAATGTGTGTGTTACTTTTGAGCTCTAATTCTAAACACAACGCGCTACCAGAACACTACGGGCTTCAGGCCCTACAATAATTCTCGTATCCGTGGAGCTGTAGGCCCAAATTGAAACTTGGGGGACAAAATAATGGCCTTCATGCGTGAGCATAATTGGAACTTTGTGGAGTTGGAGGCCCAAACTTCTACTGTTTCCATAAAAAACATCTCGAGCCCAATGGATACGGCCTATATTGGGAGCCACAGAAGCAATGCTAGCATGATGCATGGAGTCAATGCAGGAGGATTGAGGTTTATTTCAGGCAGTATTCAAATTAAGGAACACAATTTTAAATTGAAACCACTGGGCACTAACCTAGGCATTTAATATTTGATCATGCTCGAGGAAGCCGAATTTTCTTGAGACCATCCCACTTGCACTTGCTCATGTATTATATTCTCTAGATTGGTTACTTTTTGAGTTGGAAACTGAATGACTCCATCATACACTCACCAGTCACCAAAGGAGTTTGAATCCAAAGCCATTTATTTGATTGGCTTGTTACTGAGGGGACCAGACTGAAGTCGGATACTTGATTCCAAAGAGATCCAAGAGAAGAGCACCATGATTAACTAACTTGTTTGCTTCGATATCTTCCTCCTCCTTTTTCCAAGTCTAAGTTTTTTTACTTTTATAATTTTCTTTGAACTAATTTCGAAATAACTGGCTACAGTAGGAGCTGATTCGACCATCCATTCTAAGTCAAAAAAGATTGGTTCAGCCATTGCTGCCGCAGAAGCTAGCATAGCAACCATTTGCGTGGACAGGAGGTTCCATTAAATATACGAGGTTCACTTGGCCTAGTTTTTGAAGCGCGTTTCCTTTCATAGATATCAGCAATCAGCCCCTGTAATTTTTTAAGTACATGCACGGCTTTACCTTGTCTCTCATTACATCTTTCACTTCCGTTTGGTTTAAAAACAAACGAGTTCAGTGAATCTTGGATATTGAGAATCCCATTCAACCTTTCTTCGAGTTGGGATCTATTGCTCGAGGCAATCATGCCTCCCATGTATTGCAGAGTTGCCTGCTGAGTGCGTGTCTCATGGGTAATTCATATATACGCCATCTTCTACACTCAACTTATAGTGCATCTCTCCCGACAACACCGTAAGTTTTTGTCTTATTTGAGCTATTTCAATCAGCCATGGAGTTTCAACTCCCAAAAAACTCAACCTTGGAGACAAATCACAAATTTCTACCCTCTAAGCAGACTTGCATGAATAGTTCTTGTTTCTTCTGTATCATGTCCGACACAGATTCTTCTCTCAGAAGAGCTAAAATGTTTTGCTTCTTCAAGCAAATGCCTCTTGAAGACGACCAAGAACATGTATTGGCGTTAAGCGGGCTTTGGAAAATCGCTATGACTCAACCGAATGACCCAGAATTTCCTTCCCTTGGCATCTTTCGATGCATGGCCACACTAATCGAGAAAGGGGTCAGCGACAAAGATTGGCTACTTAGATATCAAAACGCTTACATCCCCTATTGTGCAGCGCATATCATTGGTTCCTATGCCATGAACAAGGCCACGTTTGCTCATAAAGCTGTCAAGTCCCACGTTGTTCGGCCACTAATGGATCTCCTCGAAGGTAAGATTAGTCGGTTTGAACAGAGAGTCGCACTTCGAGCAGTGGGTCATTTGGCCAAACACGAAGAAACTTTTGAAGCACTTGCTGAACACGAGGCAAAAATCGTGGAGGCGGCCATTGACATAGCTTCTACTTGTTTGAACGAGGTGTATGATAAATTTCTTAGCTTGAAGGAGACACGTAGATTGAAGTATCATAGGAATTTGCTAACAAGAGGGCTTGGAGGCATGGAATTAGAGAGCAGAAAAGCAGAGGATTGGGCGAATCAGCTTCAATGCTGGTCCCTGTGTGTCTCAGACTGCTTTGCACGTAAAGAAAGATCTCTCAGATTAATCTGCAAGGAGCAATTCTTAAAGGTTTTATGTGGAATGTGGGGTGGAATGGGAAACCCTGGATCACCTGCTGGAATAGGACTTGCGCGAACGCTGTGTCGCACCAAAGTAGGAACAGAAAGCATAGCAGAGTCTCAAGAAGTAGTAGACAGCCTTTGTAATGTCTCGAGATCCTCGGACGATCGGCAATACTTGGCTATTGAAAGTCTTTTGCAACTTCTTAACGACCCTCTCACGAGATATAAAGTAATAGATACTGCAGCTCCAGTTCTTGTTGATTTAGTTGAACTCAGGAGCATTGAAGGAAAGATAAAAGTAGGACAAGCAATCACGCAGACTCTCTTGCAAGATTACCACAAAATCAGGTATTGTAAAATGAGTCTGAAGGAAGAAAAAGCTGAGAGAGCGTTAAAAGAATTATGGGATTTAAAGGTAGACAGAGTGAAGAGAGAGAGTCCGACGAATGAAGAAGAGATCAGAGAGAAAGAGGTTTTGGCGGGTGTGTTGAAGAAAGAAGGGAACAGCATACTTTGGTCAGGGGACATAGAAAAGGCTATGACGAAGTACTCAGAAGCTTCGGGTTTTTGCCCACTGAAAACGTGGAGAGAAAGAATCGTGCTTCATAGCAACAGAGCACAGTGTCATTTGTTGCTAAGAGATGCAGATGCCGCTCTAAGCGATACAACTCGAGCTGTATGCCTATCAAGTGAAGCGTGTCCTCACAGGAAGAGTTTGTGGAGAAGATCACAAGCTTATAACATGAAAGGGGTTACTAGAGAGAGCTTGATGGATTGTCTAATGTTAATCAACAGCCGCTTCAAGTCACAGCAGACAAAGGGATTCAGAATTCCATACTGTGCGGCACGTATGGTGAACAAGCACATGAATGCCTTGTGGCTCTTTGCGTCAGCTGAGTCAGAGAGGTATGGCAAAAGCGAAGAACAGAGCGAGGAAAAACAGTGAAAGGTGATTTCTAGGACGTCAACAGATGTAAGTGTTTTTTATTTCTCAGAGTTCATCTGGGTTGCGACTTGTGACCGTATGTCAAAAACTCAGAAGCAAAATAAGACAATAACGAGTTCCGTGAGGGAAATTACCCAGTGGACTATTGTTTCAATGCGGTTTGTTTGCTTAATTGCTTTCGATGTATGATCAATATTGTAGAAGAAGATTTCATCAGGATAGAAGTATGGAAAAAGAAGACGTGCTGGACCATAGCAGACAAGTAATGGATGAAAATGTAATATATTATAAGACTGCATTGTCTGGCACGGGATCAAAAAGGCTGAAGCTTAAATCTACCTTATTTTTTTTTTAAATCTTCATTACAAGTAAGCACTTACTTCTCCACAATTGTTTTTAATATATGAAGAATGGATTGTTATAAATTAGTTATAAGCCGTGAAAAATGGGACACCCTTTTTAGAATGCATGCTTGTCAACTAAAAGTTTCTTCTATAAGCACTATAACCCGTGCCATTGAAGGTATAAATATTAGGATTAAGGATCAAAAATATTTTTAAAATATACACAAAGGGTTACAAATGATTCTAAACTTAATTATGTGTCATTTATATTCCTCAACATCAAAAAATCATTGCTTTGTTATCATAGCGTAAACTTATTGTTATGTGAATCTCACGTATAAATTTTTTAATTTTTTTTATTATAAGATATTACTAGTGGGCCTCACATTTTTTTTAATGAGTTAAAGGTTAATTTTATTCCTAAAATATATATGAAAGATCATAAATAACTCTAAATTTAACTTGTGATCAATTTTATCCCTCAACTGTTAAGATTTTTAAATTTATTACCTTACTGTTTTTTTCATTTATTTTCTCTATTAATGGAGCCTGTTTTAAATTTTTTTTAATATTTTAATTATAAAATATTTAAGTGAATTTCATCAATTGTTTTTTAATTTTTGCTCCTCTCCCCCCTTCTCTCCTCTCTTTAATCGTTTAAATTAAGGCCGCGTAAGGGTGGTCGAAATTGTTGTTGCGATAAATATATCTCCCCTCTCCAGATTCACAGATCAATTGTTGTGCAGCTGATATAAATATATATATACTTTTAAATATTATCCAGCCATGAAGAAAAATAAAAGAGAAGCATACCATCGAATAGTAGTGGCACCTGGGTCTTGAGTCAAGAGGTGAGCCAAGACCTTGGTATTAAAAAAAAAAAAACTGTTTTTTGTCTTGTCAAAATTCACTATTTTTCTTTTTTTCTTTCTTTTTTTATATTTGTTTTTTAATTTAACTTTTAATTACAGACTTACAAATGTAAAAATGAATTAATGAAAGGTATTCAATAAGTTTACTCTTAAATATTGAATCTTCATTCTTTGTTTCTTTTTTCTGACTAGTCACTAACTAATATTCTCATGATAAGGATGAAGTGGGGCTAATTTAGTTAAATTATCTTTTTTTATTTTTTAAAGAATTAATAAATAATATTAGTATTTAAGTATAATGAAATTATGAGTTAATATTTACTAAGTTTTGAGTTAAAAATAAAATTTTAAATTTAGACTAAATGTAAGATTGAAATGAGTTTAAAATTTAAAATATTAAAATAAGAGGTGTAAAATATAAAAAGTATGAGTAAACTACAAAATATGAAAACATTTACCCCATACATGTCATGCCCCTCTCAACATGATGTAGCTTCGCAAGCTCTTATAAATTAGGGACTCACTGGATCAATAGGCATTTGTCAAGAGCTTCTATCTAAGTGCATCTAGTACTGCCGTGGTATTTATCTCATCAGGACTTTCTATAAAAAAAATGCAGTGTTTATATGAAGTCTTAAGTGAGTCGGGATAGAGGGGTAATTTGTGCATTTGTCGATGACTGTAGCCATCATGACATGTCATGAGCATATGCTCTTGGCCGGAGTAAACCCCCCACCCCAACCTACCCAATAACACCCATTATCATCATTCATAAACATCATCGAATTCACAGCCTCAACACACACTTTTGCTGGTTTTAAACCTACCACCAAATTGAAACACCACCTTGAATAGTTGTTCCCAAATACCGGTGTGCTCATGCTATCCCTTCAAAAGACATGGTAATAGTGAATCAAGAGAAACTTGTGAGAAATTTCAATAATAATATACTGAAAATTGCTCTTAAGATTGTTTGAAAATTTAAAAAAAAAAAAAGTACTTCAAATCGTGTCCAAATAGATATGAAAAACGGGCAACTTAATTTATATGGACTTGCCCTTGAGAACTCAAACTCATAAATTCAATTATTCAAAATTATCATTTTATAAAGCTTCATTTTTAATCAAATGGCTCAAGGCTTAGCCTAGAAGTCCCTTTTTATTATTTTGAATTTTTAAAAATTTAAAATTATAATTATAATATTTCATATTCTTTAAAATACAAGTTTTAATGTTCCAAAATTAAAAATAAATAATAAATAATTATTATATTAAAATATAAACATAGATTCTAAAGTTTAAATTTAATTTAAAAATTAAAAAAATTTAGGGATAAAAAGCAAATGGGCCTAAAATGATCATCCTAATCCATTTTTTCACAGCTGATTAAGATTGGGTTTTAAAGTTCGATTTCTCTAAAAAAAAATACTATTTTTTCAAGCCCAAATCCTTGTACAAATGAGTTTAAATGGGTGGTTTATCAAGTCGGGCTCATGAATTTTTCTTTGTTCATCCATAATTGTAACAAATGAACCAACGGGAGTTGGTTTGAGTGGTAAGGCTCAATTCGCTTAAGCAAGGTCTCGAATTCGAGCCTTGTGTATGTTAAAAATTTTGATGGGAGACTCAGCCATCATGCCAGTGCGCGACGCAGGTCAGATCCGGATGTAGTTGATGCAAAGCTTGGTGAATCGGTAAGCTATCAAAAAAAAAAAACTGTAACAAATGAAATATTAGCTCAAAATGAGAGGATCATACTGCCTTTCTTGGATGCAATATCTTACTTGTTTAGACTTTAATTTCAAAGAACCATGCAACACTGTCAGAAAATATTAGGTTTTTTTAGCCAACTAGTTCAACGACAATGAAATGAACGATGCAAAAAAAAAAATATATATATATATACATATATACTCGAAACAATAATAGAAACTATATATAATCTAATAATAGTAACGCAGTGTGCTTAATAGAAAAAAATAACAATGAAAGATTAGAGAAAAGCTTTTAAACATGCCTGCTTTGAGAGCTTAATCAATGCATCAATCATGTCGCTGTTACTGTAGAAAACCAGACGAGAGAAAAGTTTCCACTACTCGTCATGTTAAACTAGCCAGGTGCGAGTCTCAGGTTCAATCAATAAGTTAAAGATATACATAAAACAAGAGGGGCTGTGGAGCGAAGCTCGCTTTTTTAAAGTAGGGTTTATTATTCATGTACTAATTGCTTCTGGATTTGTTGGTTCACATTAACTGAATTACCCAAATGGGTTCATTACTCCGTCTCTATATAATAAGGAAGTTCTATGGTTTTATATTGCCTTTTCTCTTTTCTGTTTTTTTTTTTTTTTAGTGGACTGACATTGCTGTATAGAGTTAAGCTGGCTTCCTGCATTAAAGAATGATATTGCCGTTGATACTACTTGCACATCACACATTAACCCACTACACACAATGTAGCCTATAACATCCGAATTTTAATTTAAAAAGTGAATTGAAGTTAATAATGATGGGAGAGTATTGCAAGGTAATTGAATTTATTAGATGATTGTTTAATTAATCTAGGACATTGACCCAAGCTAAGATCTTTAGCAAATGAAATATACACACACACAGATACACATATATTTAAATTACTTGTCTCACGTTAAAAGCAAATTATTAATTTTCACTATTTCGTAAAATACCTTATATATTGAAATACGAGACTTTAAAAAAATATTTTATATTTGAGACGGAAGAAGTATAAGATTTACAACAAATCAAACTTGGAAACTGCTTATTTCTAAGGCATTAAATGTTTAACTAGATAATTGTAAATTTTTATAATCTGATTATTAAATACTTAAATCTATTTTTTATGAATAAATGATTTCTGAACTTGGTACTTTCAAATAATTTTTTCATGCTTGTACATGCTACGTTATCCATATGCTAATTCATGCAGGGACTATTGAACTCATGGGGAAGATGGAATCATAAGTTCATAAATTGATTGATTAATCTTGTTTTATCCAACGTGAAATTCAAAAAAAAAAAAAAAAAACACACACACACACACACACACACACACACAAGGGATTTAAGTTGGGGATTGGCTAATCAGACACAGCATGCATATCATGTGCACAGCCTCTTCCGCTTGTCTGTTCTCAATTAATGTTTCTCCAGCTACTGATACCTAGTCCTTCATGTGGACAATTGTTATGTACAGGTGGCAAAGACACAAGTGCCAAAGGTTCATTCAACTTGGAGATCATCTTCTTCCGCATTTAGAGAGAAGATATCAACAGGAGCACTAGTGCTGTCACAGACACCATGACGTTTCGACATCCCACTCAGAGAGTCCTGTGAGTGATCCAAGTATACGACGATCACTGTAATATCATCATGAAATTGGCGCCTAGCACCTTTCTCAACTCTAGTTAAATCCTTATATCTCATTCCCTTTTTCTTTGCAGCCTCTTCCAGTGCAGCTCTCACCAATCGCTTCGCTATTCCCTACAATAGAATTTCAACATCCCTTAACATGTTATCATTAACTCTCTGATCTAGCAGAGAGCTAGTAATGGTTTTCCATCAGAAGTAGAACATTTGTCTGCAAGGTTTATGCAAGCGGTTAAGCCGTTAAGGTGAATGGAATAGTACTACTTACCAGTCTTGGACTTTTGAAGATGATGTCAACCGCAGCTTCATCGGTCAAATACTCCCAAAGCCCGTCAGATGCAAATATCAAGAACATGTCGTCTGGCTTCAATTTTCGGGTCAATATTGATGGTTCAGCTGTCATTACAGGTCTCTTTAAAGGCACAAGGTATCCAAATTGTTGGAACAGAGGATCCCTATTAAACTCAGGTCTCTTTAGATAAACATCTCCAATTGATCTTGACACCTAAAAGGTAAATAAAATAGTCGTGAATATTATGGCTTATCCTTGGACTCTGTACCATCCTCAGTTTAATAAAATTTTCATCAATGATCTAAAGAGAAGGTTACCATTAACGTGACTAGGTTTCGCTTTCTGATAATTTCGACTAAAATATGAATTCTTTGAAAGTCACTCAATGATACAGGAATACAAAAAAGATACCAAATCTTCCATATATACAACTGTCATCGCATGAAATATGAGATGACTTCAAGGAGTTCACATGCAGCTTCGGAGGATTTATTACCTTCCATAGACAATGGTCATGCTTACTGACAAATCACATGGAATCGTGTAGCCATTCCCCATAAATGGAATGATGTAAATTCCAGACCACTTGTTTAATAACCAAACATTCACAAGATGAGGGGTTTTTTTTTTCAAAAAAAAAAAAAGACAATATGAGGATTCTTGTTTACATTTTCTGAGATAATCTAGGAGAAGAATTTTTGTAGGAGTATATTCTTCCAAAAGGCAATTCCTTATTGAACAGCATGGTCACGCAAAAATCAATCAGAAGCTTTACGTAAAATCATCCTACAAGAAATGAGCTTTTAAAAAAGGAATTTGGGATCAACTATAAACAAGAACCTTCATGAATGGTTTGTCACTGATCCCCTGACAAGCCGCAAGCATAATGTTGCAGAAGATTGGAACATGTAACATGATTCATGGTGAATGTAAGTTAGAACAACATGCTGTGTATTGCGTTTTGGCAATTTGTCTCATCGGTAGTACTTTCGCACTTGGGCTTCAGGTGAGCTAGTTTAGGGATGAAAAATCCAAAAAAAAAAAAAAAAAACCGTGTTCCTTAGTTATCAAAACCATACATATCACACTAGATGTAAGATCCAGTAGGTGAATGCATATTGAACTATAACTCCCTAATGACAGAAGGAAACAGCTTAGTTTAATTTTATGAAACTTCAGTTTCACTCAAATAGCAATCTAAAAATTTGTTGCCATAGATAGGTAAATAAATCCAACCACACAGATGTTAACCATTGAGAAGATTTCAATCAAATATTTGAATCGGCGCCCAAATTGCAAACAATAATCATTAGGGGGGGGGAGCATTGAAAGAGTGCAATGTTTAGAGAAATTTGCATGTTTTCAGGTCTTTATTATTCGAGGAAATTGAACAGAGCACCCAAGAAAGAGAAGTGAGAAAAAGAAAGCCGAAAGCCAGCAAGTACCTGAATAATGCCCTTGATTCTCCAAAACTCCCTGAACGTAAACCACAATGTGCGCATCATCGGGGTGAAGTGCCATAACTTCCTTTCTAACATCTTCCACTGCAACATTATGATCAGTGGACAAACGCTCTGCCACGACAGAACAATTAACTTTCCTTCCCAGAACTGCCCTAGAATCCCCAACGTTGGCAACATAAAGAACGTCGTTTGAAATCACCCCCACAAGACAACATGAACCCACCGAAGCAATCTGTGGCTGACTAGTCCATGATTGCTTCACCAGCTGTAAGAATCCCTCTTCCGTTGCATTAACGGCTTTCTTTATCACGTCCTCCGATAACCCACCTTCTTCAGAAGTAAACTCTGTAAATGCCGAAGAACGATCAACATGATGTTAAAACAACAACGACCCGTTAGCTAATTATCGATAACAAATTGTAAGCATTTCAACCTATTGAAGGCCCTTTTCCAATGAAGCAGGGTATCGCTGCAATTTATGGGATCCCAGAATACGAAAAGGATAAAAAAAAGAATAGTTTGTTTGAAGACATCAATTCTGAAACTGCTTACTTTGGAGAAAGGCGAAGAGATGGCTGGTGATAAAACGGGAAGCTTCAGGCCCGCCGTGTCCGTCATATATCCCGACATAAGTTGCAGAAGGAGAGGTAAGCACTTGACCTTGGTCTTCCAGAAACGAGTTAGCTTGAACTATAGCAATTGAATAGTCGCCTAAAGCGTGGGGTTTCAAGTCCTTATGCCAGAGAAGCTCGTCGTTGCCTCCTCCACCAAAGCATGTCTCTAGTGGCCTTCGGCAGAATTCCAGCATCTTTCTCTCAATCGTTGTGAATGTGTACTGAAATCAAGACTTTTCCCCGTGTCTCTGAATAGGATGGTTCAAGGTTCAGCAAGTGTATGAGAAAAAGCGCTGGTTGAGGTCCACGGTTGATAAAAAAGAGGAAGATTTGTTGGTGAATGGTAAAGAAATTCTTAACGGAGAAAAACGAAAGAAGGGGACGTGTGAGTACCGCGTAAGGGGGGAAAAAAGGGAAGAACGCTGTAGCAAGTAGTAACAGGGCGAGAGACCAAGACTAAGACGAGAGTGGAGGAGGGGTGGGACTGGGACCTTGGAGAATATTTTTGTGGAGAAAATTAAGAGGACGGACCTTGACTTCAAATGGCTCCGTCTTTCTCCATGTACATTTGCAATTCCAACACCTTGTTTGGTTCCAAGGTAAGGTATGAATTTTAATGGATTAAAATTGAAATTAAAATTTTAAAAATATATTTAGTATAAAATAATATTTAAATAAAATACTTTTAATGATTTTATTTTATAATCAATTGTAAATTATCAAAAGTCTACAGCGGCCCTTATCATTAACAAACAAAAACATAACCTCAAACTAAAATCCATCTTGTTCTGGACCAAATGTGGAGGAATCTTTTCAAAAATTCAATCTCAAACTCTAATCGAACTCAATCTCAACTAGATTAACAATCTTGTCAAACTCATTTTTCTTCACAAGTTGAGTGTTGTATTTAAACAACAAAACCAAGTATATCAGGTAAGGGTGTTCACAAATTCGATTTAATTCAGTTTTAGGCAAAAATCAAATCAAATTGATCGGTTCACTCATGGTTAAGACCTAATTGGTTTGTTGCAAAATCATTTTAGTTTGGTTTTGTTTTTAATTTGGTTCTGGTTGGTCAAACTTTGAATCAAGTTTAATTGTATTTATTCATTTTTTTTTCTTTTTTTAACAACCTTCACTTACTGCGAGTGTGTTGTTTTTCTTGTCGAGTACATTTATATAGTTATTTGATAATTGATAAGAATTTTATTTTTCTCTAAATATTTTTAACAATGTAAAAATACTAATAACAAAGTGATTATATATGAGCGTTTTCAAATCATTAAGTATTAAAAATTGATGAAACTGCATGCATCTTTTGAATTCTATAATTTTAGTTCAGTGGCACTCAATCAAAGTATGTTTATTATGAATTTACAATGACATTTGAGCATTAATTTTTGCCAAAAAATATGAAGCAAAGTTAGTTTCTCTAGTTTGCAGACAAATACTAATAACAATAACCTTTTGTTGCGAAATATATATAATAGTATTTTTTCTAATTGTAGACAATATTTAATTAATTATAAACAAGTGTCCTTAAAAAAATTATAAAAATTATAGACAATATTTAACTAATTATAACATATTTTTAACTATCAATTTATAGATAATAAATTTAGGAAAGAGAAAAAAAATTAAACAAATATATATATAATAAAGGAAAAATTAATCTTTTAATCCCCCAACTTTTAACTCACTTGTAACTCAGTTCCTCAACTATAACTCGCTGCAACTCAGTCCCTCAACTATAACTCATTGCGACTCAGTCCCTCAACTTTTGAATCACCTATAATTTGGTCCTTATTTTTAATTTTTAAAAAAAATTTTATCAAATAAGAGGGATAAAAAAATGTTCATATATTATTTTAAAATATCCTCCTCTTACTCATTAATTTGAGATCTAAACTAACATGAAAAAAAAAATTAACAAAGTTGAGGGACTAAATTGTAAGTGATTTAAAAGTTGAGGGACTGAGTTATAGGCGAGTCATAGCTGAGGGACTGAGTCACAGCGAGTCATAGTTAAGGGACTGAGTTACAAGTGAATTAAAAGTTGGAGGACTAAAAGATTAATTTTTCCTATAATAAATATATTGAAGCTTGGTTTGGTTTAATTCAAGTTTCAAAAACAAAAACTTAAATTAAACCAAACCAATCAATTTTGTCAAAAAAAAAATTAAACCTTATTTATAATCAATTTTGATCAATTTATATTGATTTGGTTTGGTGTCATCAGTTTTGAACACCTTTAATGCCATAGACATGAGGCTTCAAAGATAATTATAAAATTTTTGAACTCCTTTATCTTAGTTCACCAAAATGAAAAGATGCAAAGAAATTAATGTAAAATGTGTTTTTTATTAGTGAAAAAATAAGGTACAAAGTTATAGTGATTACAATTTATGAATTGAAAATATATCCAAGTCTAATTATGAAATACAAGGTAAATAACTCAAAAAAAGAGATATTTTTTTTTTCTTTGTGTGAGCTATTATTTCTTATGGTAATTGTCTGGCCTCCTTATTGCTAGTTTGAGCTCATTTTATAATCATTCCCCTGAGACCATTGTGCTTGAGTAATTTAGAGTTTGCATGCAAAATATCTGTAATAATTCAGCACGACCTTGCAAGATTCATCGCAAGTCGAATGACGCTCGTGTCCGCTCAAAGGTTTTTCATGCCCAATCACTCTGAGCCTTAAGGGTTATGCTGAGGACGAGATGGTATTGGGTACTTTTATATACAGTGGAATCGACATTGGGATTGAAAGGCTCACGCCTCCATACCAAAAATCAAAAACGTAAGATTACCCAATCTTCGCTTCTTTGCCAAACAAGGCCCAAGGGTGACGTGGATCAAAGGCCATTGATATTGAGACGAACAAAAGCCACTACGGAAGTCTTCTCAAAAGTAAATGGTCAAATGATGTACATCGAGCGCGGTTTAATAGTCAAGCCATTAAGTCCTCGAAATTTAAGGCCTGTCTTATCTCATGTGTTCATGACTCTTGAAACTTATTTGGATTGTACTGTAAGTTAGCAAAAACACGCAGCAAATATATCGAAAAACAAAGTAGTTAGATGGTTAAAATTCCAAAAAAATAATAATTCAACTTTGCTTTTATTTGGCGCACAAAAAAATGAACCATGTTAATAAGGAAAAGATAACTTCAATGTATTCCCAATCACATTTTAAGTAAACGGATAAGTTTGTAAAATCTTAGGTATTAAAATATGATATTTTTAGAAAATATCTCATATTTGAAAATTAAATCATAGGTGCTCCTCCTTTAAAAATATAAAATATTTTTAACTGAATTACGTTTTAAATAAATCATTAATTAATTATCTTTAAAGTTTAAATTGATATTATTTTTACATGCCTGCTCATATTTAATAAAGTATTTCATTTAAAAATAAATGATTGAATACTTTATTTACTAAAAGTATTTTTGATAAAAAAACTCATTAATTATACATGAAAAAACTAAAAATATATTATATGTTAAATATCCAACATAAAAAGATGTCTTTTATTTTTTATCAGAAAGGGTGGTATTATTCATTAACATTTAGAAAAAGGGATCACTTTTGTCCCAAAAATGATAGAAGTATAACATGATTTTTTGTCTCTATTATAAAATAACTCTAACTATCCTATCAAAATTAAGAAGAGATTGTTAAGTCATTAAATTTATTTTAAAATAAAATAAATTTTTAATTTTACTTATATTTAATACAAAACTTTCAAGTTCGCATTATATTTTCTTTTTTTATGGTTGAAAAATATATTATATGTTAAATATCCAACATAAAAAGATGTCTTTTATTTTTTATCAGAAAGGGTGGTATTATTCATTAACATTTAGAAAAAGGGATCACTTTTGTCCCAAAAATGATAGAAGTATAACATGATTTTTTTTGTCTCTATTATAAAATAACTCTAACTATTCTATTAAAATTAAGAAGAGATTATCAAGTCATTAAATTTATTTTAAAATGAAATAAATTTTTAATTTTACTTATATTTAAATACAAAACTTTCAAGCTTGCATTATATTTTCTCTTTTTATGGTTGATAAATTTAAATAAGAGTAGTATTGAAAAAAAATATGACTAATACTTTATTAAGTGCTCATGTATAAGGGGAAAAAATCTTTTTAGAATAAAATAGATAGCAGAAGGAGTAACAGCAAAAGAAATCAACAGATAAGATTTATATGCTAATGGACAGAATTTTTTTCTTAGTGGATGTTTATATGATTTCCTAAATTTCGAACGAATCCCGTTATCATGAGATGCGCCGACTGCCCACCGTTAATGTTGGGTAACGTGATGACGCGATACAGGTAGCTGACCAAACTGGTTAGGAATAAGTGATTTCAAAACCGGAGCGACCAATCGATCCGGATTCCAATTCAATTGATATGAGAAAATTATTTTAAACATTTAATTAGGTTGGATCGTTTTGAACTTGTGATCGTGCTGAAAACCTAAATCAAGTCAGAAATTAAATTTAATTTTTTTATTTAAAAAAAATAATTTTTATTAATTTTTTTAAAAATAATTAATTTTTTAATCATTTAATGTTATACTATATCATATAGTTTATTAAGTCATGATAAATTTAAAATATTTAATTTTTTTAAATTAAATAGTAATTTTATATTCATCTTTTATATTTAAATTATTATATATATAATTTTTTAATTTAATTATTACATCATCAATTTAATTAATATTCAATTTAATTTTAAAAAATATCGTTAGGAATGCCCATGATATAGGCGATAGCGTGATGGTTCTGGATACTGCAGAAGTATATTGTACAACTTTATTGCAGCAGGTTTCCAAGGTACCCTCTGAATTCTCTCCTCCTGTTTCTGCGTTTCTTTATTAGGTAGTTTGTTGTGTTAATTTTCTGAACTTCTCAAGCGTTTTGCTTGCCTCTTGTAATTCGACCCAAAAGAAAAAAGAAAAGAAATGTGTGATGAAAGATGAAGGACGAAGGATGACAATTAGATAGGACAATAGGATGATCAATATTCAATATCTGGTTTGGTCCCTTAATAATGGATAATTGTGTCAAAAAAAAATTCAATATAAATATAAAATGAAATTTATAGTAAGCAAGGTTCATTATAAAATGTGCCATCATTATTTTTAAACTTTCATGAGAAATACGTGTAAAAAAATTTGATCCCGCAAGTTGTTCCAAGTTGTCTTATTGGTTCATTTAAGACCCTTATTTAAAACTCCTAAAGTCTTTTATTAAAAAAAGGGCAAGACTTACTCCTTTAATTTAAAAATATAAGATATTTTTTAAAGAATTAAATATTTAAAATATAAAATATTTTTAATCTTTCAAGATGTAATCATTACCTTTTTTTTCAAGAGTGCTCTTATTGATAATGACTTTAAATTTATTGTAAGATATTTAATAAAAATAAATATAAAAAGATAGAGTTAGTTTAAAAGTAAGTA